TAGTATAATAGAAAATTGAATGACTTTAATATTTGTTGACAAGTAGTCCCAAATCGACCAACTTAACCTAACCCGACTGATATTTGATTGAGTTGGGCTGGGTTGGGTTGGGTTAAATTTTGATCAAAACGATCATGTTGGGTTCGTTTGTGTTGAAGCAAAAACCGATCATGTTAGCTTGTGTGCAGTAGAGGCAAAGTGTTTCTTCTATGTGTAGAAGTAAGAACAATGCTATTGTCACATGGGGCAAGCCCCATTTTTTATAATAATATTTTATTCACATAGGGCCCACCCTCACGTGAGTATTCTGGCATTTTATTAGGTGAAATAATTTTGTACATGTGGTTTAATTGAATAAGTAATAGTGAGAATCAACTTCTATTATGTTAAACTGTCTTGTCAAAGTTTAAAGATGGTCAACAAAGAAAAAAAAATTATTCATTTATTTATATTTTTCTTTTCTAATGTGATAAGCATTTTTCCCCACAAGTCAAGATCATACCGAACTATCATAATGAAATTCGGTAATTCAAATCTATTTTATGTTCAATTACATGGTACCAAGTCCCTCTTTGAAACCCATTTTTTGAGAAGAAATTTTTATAAAAAAATGATTTTTTTTTTTTTTTGGAACATATGAGGTTAAAGATTAAGAATTTTTTTGAATTCACACGTAAAATTATATTATTGAAAGAATGTGTAGATAAAAATTGAATTTTAAAGAATTATGTTCAAATAGGGTCTAAATAAAATCTAGTCATGGTCCGGTCGTCCAACCAAGCCGCCGGTCCACTTTAACCTCTTTAACCAGTTTGTCAACAGCGTATGGCAGCCACCAAACATCAGAAACAAGACACGAACGAAATTGGAACCAACCAACCAATCACTATCATATTGTACTAATTACAACGAGAATACGAGATGTCCACGCAAAGACAATCTACTTAGTCAACAAAATACAGCCACCATATTACATTAACTGCTCACCACAATAGACATATCAAACCTTAATTTGTAGTAGTACAAAAGACAACTAACCTTATTAATTTAATGTCTACAAGTCTATCCATTTTAGTAGAGCATGTGTAAAATGTCTTCATAGAAACCATATCCTCACTTGGCTTATTACAATCATGCCCAAATCGGTACGTCTAGTACACCATATTGGACTTAGACTCGACAAATACAATACAATATACAAGATTTTAACTTTCGTTTACCAGCCTTGCCACGAACATCTACTACTGGATAATTGTAGAAACGATACCGTAATGAAGAAGTCACAATTGTGTATGTGAATTCTTCGATCTGTCAATCTTCTTAATACCAAATTGTGGCATCCTGCTTTGGCACGTCATCCTTTGCACCACTAGGAAAGCCTTCGATAAAGTCAATGGACGGCATATTGAACGGAGAACTAAACATCAGTTGGAAATTCTCATTAGGGGTGGAGTTGAAAGGAGAATTTCCGATCTTGCACTGGTTGAATCGATCTTCTGCTGTGGGGAATATAGGATGATTGGTGGGCATGTTCGTCTCTTCAAAAATATTACCCGATAAAGCCATTCCTTGACTGTTAAGGAAGCTACCCTGTTGACACTGAATGCTCGGCAACTGAAGAGACTGCATCTTTGTAACTGTAGAGTTCCCGGTATTTGAGTTCTTGTTCCCTTGAATATTATCATCGTAGAAGGACATGAGTTCGTTAATCATTCTTTGCCCGTCTTCCGGAAGTCCTGTAAGATCGATGGGAGGTGGAGTTGGATGTACGCGCAAGGCAGCTGACTTGGCCTGGACAAGTGATTGAGAAAAGGTGACTGGCTTGGCTTCATTAATATTGAAGTTCCCAAACTCAGAAGAATGTCTATAAGGGCAAGCAAGTTGATGATTGTCCCGGGAAATCCTGTCCGAGAAACCATGGCGGAGATCACTCTGAGGACATTGAAGGAACTCGCACGCATATACCTTATGATCCATCACGGTGTTCTGCTCATTTCCCGGCTTCCTCTTCCTCGAGAAGTCCAAGTTGTTAATGAATTCATCCTTCATTGGATGAGATTGCTGTTGAACTGGCAGTCTATCAGTGAATCTCTCCATCCCGCTATTCAACAAACCGAGGGGGTTGGGTTTTTGCTCGTGTACGTTGAAGGGAGACTCGTCATCCACCCCTTCAACGTCGTACTCACAGTTATCATTCATGGTAAAATTTCCACTCCCTCCGGACAATAACAAAGGCGGACATCGATCGGGGTAGATCTCTCGAGCCAAAGCTTCCTCCTGGTTAATGATGGCAAGCCAAGTCATGCTTTCCTTGGCAGTCATCTTGTCCTGCAAACACTTTGACTGCCTTACAAGTTTACGGATCTTAGCAATATCGGGAGACATGTGCTTGATCACGGCCGTTAAAACACCCACCTTCCAGGCCTTCTTCAAATCATGCGGCTTCTTGTATGGTGGAGGGACTTGATCCTTCTGCAAACCCAACTGATGCCACCATTCCTCCTTCCCCGTGGGCCACCATGGAGGCGGAACGCCTTTCTCTAACGGAAACCGCCTCTGAGGGGGATCGCAGTGCTGCATGAGAGCAGACAAAAGTGAACCGAGAGTTGTATCCTGGAGCTCTTGCAATGTGTGAGGGGTCGGACCAACGGGATTTGACCCCTCGTTCTTCCCCTGGATTGCATTATCTGTTTGGTATTTTGCTATGGCAGCCGGTCCATTACGATCAAAGCGTACCTTATCCTTCCACCACTCCCGGAGATTGTCCGATGCCCCACTTACCGGCTTGCCCTTCTCAGGAATAATTCCATAAACAAAGCCTTGAGCTTTGCAAACTTCCATCATCTTCAACATGTATTTCAAGATCCCGTCTTGTGCCCTCGACATCTTTTTCCTCCTTGCTTGTTCTTGAGACTGCTGCTGCTTGGCAGCATCGACACCTTCCTTACCTTTATTCATTTCTTTCAGTCTTTTGAGTCGCATCTTATCTCTCCACACCCTCCTCTCAAGTTCATCCACATCCATCTCCTCATCACTATAATCATCCTCTACAACCGGCTCTTGCTCAACTGGTTGCGGGCCACACACATCGGCTTCCTTCAGAGGAGCAGACGAGAAAAAATCAAGATCACCAGAAAACCCCATATCATCAAACATCATCATCGTAACAGATAGTCCGTCGCCTTCTATCTTCGAGGAAACACAAGATTTAGCAAAAGATGAATTGGTAATCACTTAAACAACATGCTGTCCCCACCTACAAACATCGATACAAGGGAAATGAGACAACATCAACTAGGAATTTTTTCCTAAAAATCTGAGGACGAGTGTATATATAGACAACTATTAGAAAAAAAGAACAGCTAAAAAGTTTAAGCATATTCTTTATTAAAAAGCTGTCATGAGCAAATAAAATCAGATCTGAGCAGATTATAATACAAGTCAAACAAGAGCAAGAGGAAATCTTAACTTGATTCCCAGAAAATTGGCAATAAAAGTTGACAAATTTCCTGGGAAAATTAGTGAAAATAAATGTAATTTTCACAGATCCATACTCAAGTTTTGCTTTGTACGAGATTAATAAACAAATTAATGAATCCATTTCTGATAATGAAAACTAGAAATAATAACCAAATATAATTTAAAGAAGCAAAAATAATTAAATCTTGAAGCTGTCTTTTGAATAAAAACATAAATAATTAGCAAAATTAACAAGAAAAAAGAAAACTAAAACCACAAGTTCCATAAATCCCCACCCACTTGCCCACCAAATTACATATACAGACATATCATCTATAATCATCAAGAACTTTAATCCAAAAGGCAAGAAAAAAAACCCAACTTCTATCATCAAGAAAAAAGAAGCAGAAAACTAATTAAAATTAAAAGGAATTAAGGAAGTTCGGTTTGGTTTCACCTTAGAGAATTCTTGAGAAGCCCTGTTTCAACTCTCTCCTTCTTCTGCAGGGTTATTGACCCTTCAGAGTGAAAAGATGAAAGAGAGAGAGAGATTTATATATGTATATATTTTATTCTATTAACGTAAAATATAATATGAACAGTATTAATGGGGTAGAGTATGGGAGATGAACAAAGCAAAGCCAAATGGAAAATAATTAACTACAGTCACATTCAATTCAAGTCAGTTTGAGTGAATGTGAAAAAGGTCCAGGTTAATCCAATTCTTTCACGCATCACCTGGCATTATTGGACTTAGAAATTTTTTCAAGAGTAGTTAATTATTCTCTTATTTGGAATAAATTCTCGAGCAACTCTCACGACGAGGTGTGAAAAAATCATTCTTTTTTTTGCACAAAAATAATTATATTTAATTCAAAAATGTTTATAGACTCGTCTCTTCGAATCATTAAGCAATTCCATTCCATTGTATATAGACCCTTTTTGGTTTACTTTTATTTACTTTATCTCACTTTCCAAAGTGCTGTTTGCATTATTTTATGTAGATTAATAGTCATTAGTGAAAATGACACTGCCACAGTTTTGTAGCACGTGATTAATACAGACAAATTCAAGGATGACTTTTCTTGAGAAAGATTTGATGACTAGCTAAGTTGATTTAGAATATTCTAAATTTATTTATCTTAGATTTGGATGGACGATTATTTAAGATTATGCTTGGCACGCACTTGAAAAAATAAAAAATAAAATTATGATTGGTTCACGATATCAAATACGACTGCACAAGATAACGTAATAAAAATTAGAGAGAATTACAGAAATCCAGGTGTTTAAAGATCACAATTCAAAAACCAGGGTTGAAGTTTCATTATTCATAAATCAGGTATCAATTTAATAATTAAATATTAAATATTTCCCCAAATTGTTCTAAACCCTAATCATTTTTCCTTCCATTTTCTATCTCTACCATCTCCCTTCTCTCTACATTTTCTCCCGTCTCTCTATCACAACCATATACACCCGTCTTCTCTTCTCCTCAATCTCTCCTCTCTCAACGGAATCTCCAACGCAGAATGTTACCATCGGAGTTGAATCGCCTGCGCAGCGACATCACCATTGGAGTTGAACCATCGGCAGCGACGTCTTCTCTCTATATCCCTCCATTTTCTCTTCATAACACATCATCGTCGGAGACGACGTCGGCATCGCAACGACGTCGTTCTAAAGTGAGGTGATGGTGCTGGGGTTGTGCGACCGGCGGTTGTACAGCGAGGCAGTGGTGATAGGGTTGTGCTGCAGTGAGGTGGTGGTGCTGGGGTTAGAGACTTTTCAGATCTATGTTGTGAGATGGTGGTGGTGGGTGTGTATTGTGGGTGCGGTGGTGGTGTTGTGGTGCTGTGGACTGGAGAGCTGTGGTGAGTGCGACAGCGGTGTGGTGCTGTGGGTGCATTCATGGTGCTACGGGTGT